TCCTTCAGAATACATCTTTGACTTTGATTTCTACTCTTTGAACTACCTTATGAATGTCTTTCACTTTGGAGTTAAAACTTTGAAAGGAGGCTAAAAATTATAAAATTACAAGTTTAGAAGGCTATCTCATGTACATTGCATGTATGTGGTTTTCTCGCGAGAGTGACTTCCTCCAAAATGTTGGCATCCACAGCTCCTCCTTCTATGCCAGTGAGCAGGGAAACATATCACCCGTACCACCTTACTGATGTGTCTTTCTTCTAGACTGGGCCAACCATCTTCTCTTACACTCCCAACAAGTTGTGAATGTTCCCGAGATCACCCGCCATCTCGGAGTTATCGCCATGAATACTCCCCTCCGATACCTTGGTAACAGCACCTTGTCACAGATACACCTGTGAACACCCATCGTTGTCTGTGTCGAGCAGACTGCTTGTGAGGGTAAACAATCAGTACTGTGCATGATGGACGAAGCAATGTACGTACTCACCTGTCATGACTTTCTTTCATTCCTCACGACCCTATCCCAGTTCGTAAATGCGAAACGCCAGCTGTCCATAGTGTATCCGCTCGTTTCCCACACTCCTGCATCCTTCCCATAGCATTTATGCATTGGGTTTGATTGTTGCGCTTTCGTGTACACGTTATCTTGGTTTTGTTCGTCTGATCGTGTATCTATTTACCCGTAAATCCTCGTGTTGAGCGGAATGCTTGTGAGGGTGGAGTGTGTGCAGAGAGCTGAATCTGATGGCAAGCAAGGTTATATCTAGCAGCCAAAGTAAGTCCTCAAATGCGAATAGAGGAACGAAGCAACGTACCTGTGTAGGGTTTGGCAAGAAGATGCATGCTGTTTGTTTTTGCACAAGTTGAATTGCCCAGCCCTGATGAGAATGACGCGATCACGGGTTCACATGACCTTGGTTCAAGAGAAATTTTCAGTGTTTGCACACTCTTTCTTCCTTCCCCACCAGCTCTTCTGTTCGCTCTCTTCGCTCATTGGTCACCACGTGCCCTCTTCCCGGCCTGTCTCACCCTCACAGTCCTCTTGTGCCCCTACCACTCCTCTGCTTGTTCGCAGACTTCAAGTCTCGCTTTCAGATGGCAACCTGCAATCTGCGCCTTAGCTGCTTAGAATGATATATCTCGTAAGTGTTTGTTTATCTGTTTCTGCAAACTCTTCTTGAAATTACTGTCTTTCTGGACAGCTCACCATATCTTGCCTCAACAGCAACAACCCGAGTTTGGAGCACAGTAGTCCTCTCTCACAGTACAGATCTTTCTCTTTAATCTCTGTATTTTGTCTAAATCTAACACTCATCATCGCAGGCTATTTTATACTTTGGTCAGCAGTCAACCTCAGTAAATAGTGAAGTCAGATGTTAGTCACGAGAAAGTCACCAATTAGAGGGTGTCTGACTAAATGTCATTTTTTTAAGTGTTTCTGACTATGCTCGTAGTACAATAGTCATACATTAGTCTCACAGTCAGTCATGTACTCATCGTACAATAGTCATACCTCAGTCATTAATGCTTGGGCCCAGTTTAGAATAGGAAATAGGCTGATTCAGATTATATTTGACTACTTTACAAGATACATGTAGTAGGCCTAGAGTATGAGGGGGTGAGGAACAACAAAAGGCCCTCTGCAACATGTCGTGTCCATTCAAATGCTCCAACGACACCATCGAGTGGTCCCCACCAGATCCAACACCCATCAAATCCTCCACATCCAAGTCCGAGTTGTCGCCATTCACATTTGCACAGGAAACGGGGAGGGAAGAGAAGGAGTTGATGAAGGCGCCATTTGGATTCAGGAGGCATCAAGAATATGGTTGTTGTTTGCTGGGCGAGGAGTTTCTGTGGCTGCCATATTTTGGTGGTGGTGATGGTGGGACCTGCAACCGAAGAGCGTCGTCAGTGTGGGTCGTCATTAAGCCTGATGCCAACTTAGCTCTTTGTTGAGTCGCTGTTATGTTTTTGTGTAATGTATGGAAGCCGGAAGCAGTGGCAGCACGTTGGACGACACACAGTCCTTGCGTTTGACCGAGGGAGCTCATGATGGTGGTAGCCACGAGTGTGTCGGGTGCATCTGCAAAAGAGCGGAATCCGTCGACGAGGGCGTCTGTGGGTATAGCTGGTTCACCAAAATCATCAATCGAGCAGTCGAGGAAAAGTATGTGGGACTGGTCGTCGGAGTGACAAAGTTGAAGTGAAGACGAACTTTTCAAATGCCAACACGAAGCAATCATGTGACTTGCAACTCAGTCTTAAGAGCTCTTAAGTCCAAAGCAGCGCAGCCTCAGTGTAGACAGAAATTCTTGGCATACCCATGCATAGATAATTTATGACAATGTTGATACTAACGTATGACTAAACTCACATCCCATTTGTTGCCAAGGGAAGTTTGAGGGAAGTGTGGCGTGAATATTACAGATGTCTGACATACATCTGACTGACCTCTCAAGGGGGCACTGGGATTTAAAAAAAAGACCTGGGGTCGATTTTTTTTTCCCTGGACTTTGAGGGGACTAACTAACTACATAATCAGGCACCGGTCTAAATATAGTAATATGACATCATTTTCTGGAGTGCTTCCCTCCTCGTCCTTGCACAGACTCATTACAAGATGTGCAAACCCAAGATCGAGGTGCCTGCTCCAAAGATACACATTGTAGATGGTACTAAACAAGGTATCATCAGCCGACACTTCAGGAACACTCTCTGGTAGATTTCGCGATGAGTTTGCTGAATGGCTGTCCAGAGAGTGGCATTTTATGAATGTCAGGGGGGAAGAGGTTAAACTTGCCCCACTTGTCGGTTGACGGTTACTGATTATGGTTGTAGGCACAGGAGCCGCTTTCGGTCGTTTGAAAAAGGTGAGTATGGAAGAATTCTTCTTCTTGTCATCCTTATCACGTTTCGCTTTTGTTTCACAGCAGATTTTCGAACCCATATGATGTATTGTGAGGTTCAAGATCCCAACACTGCCACAGTGGACATGTACTTTGCACTCTGGACATACGGCGCATCTGTCGGCGTCAAGAACCGACTCTGACGTTGGTGCCATATTACTTCCCTGTCAAGATGACCAGTAAGTAACCTGATTGACAGATGCTTGACTACTTACCTGAGATTGCGTTGCAGGTTCTGCTGGTTCCATTTTCGTGTCAAAAATCTGAAAAAGATTTTTGTGATTCATGATAAGATAATTATAGCATAAGCATGATTATGTACAACAGAAACCGCTATTATTTGGACCTTGGACTAACTAACCAGGTACCAGTCCAGCATTCTATTGCCGGTGCCCCCTTGTGACCTCTGACTTTGTGTGATTTTGCTTGACTTTGCTTTTTACTGAGAGTCAACTCTTGTGAAACATGCAGTGGGGGAAACGAAGCCGTAAGATGCATGGACTGTGTAAGTTTTTTCTCCTGTCTCCCTCACGGACAGGACAGACAAGAGTCGACACACACACACAGAAATGAGACACGACACACGTGATGGAGAACGACACACCTGTCCAATGTTCAACACATTTGATGGCAAATGTCGGTCACTTGCTCAGGAAGGTGTGTCAAATCTTATCCGCATGATACCATACTATCTCGATTGATTCTGCCCTTTTTGGATTGTCAGAAAATGAAAATTTGATGTGTGATAGAAATTAGCTATGTATCATACACCAAAGATTCTGTGGTTAAGTCAAAATCTGCCTCTCCATGCTCAAGTAAAATTTAGGATTATAAGTTTTATTCCTTAAACTACTTACTATACAAAGTTATACATAAATTCTAAGAGAGGGAGCAACCTTGCGACCCCGGAATGTACGCACCAAGAATCCTCACTGTCGACGGCCTAGTATCGGTGCATCTGGGTGTCAGTATGTAGTCTCAGTGGCCGTGGTCGAGTGGGACGCAGTGGTGGCCTCGTCACAAAGGGTGCTGGCATTTTCGCTGTCATTCGGGGTTGGTTAGTGGGGAGGCGTGGCTTACACACCTGGCTGCATGGTGGGTGCTGTATCCTCTGTTGGTTTGCCAAGTGGCACTGGGTCCTCGTCCATGGGCCTCAGCACTGGATTCTGTCTGTGCAGGCATTTTCATGGGCCGATTCCATCAGCGTGGGTGGTTTATCCTGGGCGCTGGGTTGTTGCCGTTGGTAGATGGGCGGTTTTGTGGGCATTTTCATGGGCAATTAGTCGTAATCCGAGGGTTGGGTTTGCGAGAGGGGGTTGAATTGGGGGCGGTGGTCGTGTTTGCCGTGGCACAGGGTGTGGGAGGTGATGGTGGTGGGTTGTTAGCAAAAATCCAGGGCTGAACAAAGTGGGAACCACCTGAAAGAGCCCATGACCGTTCTCTTGGTCCTTGTCAGCCATAGTGAGGGTGGGAGATGGGCAGGAAGAGAGCGAGGGGGGTGGTGGGGCACAGGCAAGCAAATGGCGGTGGTGGTGATGAGAAAGCAGTCGTGACCAAGTCGTCACAATGATCATCACGCTCGTAACTTGTGGCGGAGTTTCGAATTGATGCACAGCACTAGTGTTGCCGCAAGGGAAGGTGAAGGTCACCTTGAGTTACCTTGATGTGACCTCAAGGTATTTTCCAGATTAGGAAAATGAAAGAGAATCAGCTTGCAGCAAGTTTGCAGCCACGTAGAATCATAACTATATCATGTAGTATTGTAACATACATCTGAGTACTGGTCAACAGAGGGTCCCTGTGGTTGAGTGAGGTGACCTGTCAACTAAATATGCACGTGGCGAGCCAAGAAGTAATTTTAGGGTATTGAGTTGACGAGCAATTGACAAGTTACGAAAAAATCATCCATACAGAGGGGCAAAACATGGGGTACATAGATCTCCTCCTCAACAAACACCCATTTGTCATTGCAGTCTGTCCTTTCTGAAGCAGATGTGAATCTGAGAATTTGAAGCTTCTCCATCAATTCCGGTGCAAGGTTGTTTCGGCAAAGGGTGTCAGTTTCTTTGCTTTACAAGAACATGCACTCTGATGGAGCAGAGGATGCTTGAACTGGAAAAACATCCAACGTGACATGGTACATTGTCTTCTTCTTTTTATTCACCTGATAGTGCCATAGCAGCATCGTTCAATTGATCAAATTGAAAAACATGAAACTAGGCATTATTGGTTCCAGAGAAAACTAGAAATGAGATTCAAAAAATTGATCGGCGCGGTGGAGTGCTGATGTTCAGCATCGAGCAACAAGTTTGGGCGCATGGAACGACAAAACTCATCACAAGAAAGGCTGAGTGGCCCGGCCGTGCTGCTGGCCTATGAGAATTTTTTCCTGAAGTGGCACATTTACCTTGACACTCCTTGACGTTGACAATTTCCTTTTGCATCGCCTCAAGGTGACCTTGCCTTCAAGGCACCTTTCCTTGTGGCAACACTACACAGCACACTCGAAAATGCGAAATCATGAAGAACAACACATTGTTACCAGGTGTGTCGCTTCTCACATGATGTGTCCTACTCCTCATCTGTGTGTGTGTGTCTCCTCTTGTATATCCTCCCTCGCGGATGGGTTATCGATCTGACTTCTCTTCTTATATAGTTCTCATCGCCAATCCAGCCTTTTGTCGTGAGCTTAGGAGGATGGAGCATTGGTGCGGGGGACCACAACGTCGTTTCACCCTCATATTTATGACATACTGACATGTCTCCTTGCTCCCCCAGACCACGAAACGAACTATACGACCACCACTACCACAACCAAGACACACCGACCACGAAGACGACCACAACGTGTTCACGACAACCATCGCGAACCACGACCACGACGAATCCATGCCAACATGTCCACAACCATGCGCATCCGCAACCACGACCACGCCCAGGTGCGATCTCATAGCTCCTGCAGACCACCAAGCGAACTCCATAGGATAGCGGCAGCGTGCAGGTCGAGAGTGGTGACTGGATGGATGTAGGCGAGAAGTAGTGTTTGAAAGTTAGGTTAGTTAACCGGAAAATAACCGGACCTAACCGCAACACTAACCTAACCGCAGTTAGGGTTAGTTGATTTTGAAAATGGAATAACCGGTTATTTTGCGGTTAACTAACCATTAAATAACCGGTTATAACCAGCCCTATTATACACCTTCAAAACGCACTTGAGAACGTCGAAAATGCTTAAAATTTGACTAAGTTACGGTCAAATCTCTAAAATATCACTCAAATGTGTAGACTTTCAAGGATAATTGCATAAATATGTCAATTCTTCACCGATTTTAGCGTTCTTGGGCTCGTTTTAAAGCTAGAATATGCAGAAATAATATCTATCAAGATACATATGAGCATATTTGCCTTGTTATAACCGATTCTTTATTTTTCGGTCCTAACCGGTTAGTTGTGGTCTGGTTAGGTTATTTTAGGTTTCGGGACAAAGGCTAACCAGTCTCGGTCTCGGTTAGAGCCCCTGGGCACCCAATAACCGGACCTAACCGGACTTTCGAACACTAGCGAGAAGCCTCCGGATTAGCGTCTAGCTAGGGCTTTATCTAGAACACAACTACTGTATTAGATACTGAACATCAATGCTATTCCTTTCTCCTGTTCCATGCCATCCTTCTTGAGATCCAAAGTCACTAAATAAGTTCATCAAAGTACACAAGCAAAGGTGCCAAAGTGCTACTGAAAGATGGATTCCCAACTTCGGAAAGTTATCGAACAACTTTCAAAGTTGCTCGATAACTTTCAAAGTTATTGTACCTTACTTTATGAAGTTGTCGAACTTTGGCAACTTTGGCAACTTTACAACTTTGCAAAGTTGCGAAAGTTGCTCAAACTTCAGTAAATCGGTGAAGTTCCGATATGACCTTTTATTTCTCACGAGATATTAGTCAGATGTTGAAAGATCACAATCCCTCACAATAGCTCACAATCTGTCGCAATGCTTGTGTGCACCTCGCAAGGATGCATGCAGATTATTGTAGTCTCGTAGCTGGACAAAATCATATATATATCATTTGTTTCCAATTGTGAGACAGTGTAATGAAGTAAGAAATTATCAGATTGCAGCCTTCTCAGCTCTTGACGAAGGCAAACACTTCTCGATAACTTCTCAAGTGATCAAGAGATAAATCTTGGATAGATCTGCCGTTGCCAGTGCATTTTGTGACTTTGGGCAGCAAGTCAGCCTGAGCTTTGGGCCAACTTTGGGCACAGTCATGTGCCCATCGGCTGAGTTTGGAACATTGTGCCATGTGACTGATGTTGAACTTCTGAACTTCGGGACTCTAACGTTCTAATGTTTCAACTCCCCACCATCGCTCCCTAAGGCCTGAGTCTGCACATACACCTGCTTAGTGTTTGGAAGTCCGGTCTCGTGACTGGAAAAAGACCGTAACCAGACCGGACCAAGACCGCAAAAGACCGGACCTGCGGTTACGGTCTTTTATTTTTGAAATGTAAAGACCGCAAAAAAACCGGTTAACGTGAACCGGTCTTGACCGGTTTGGACCGGTTTTTTGTAGCCCCTTAAATACCCTTTAAAACGCACCCAAGAACGTACGATTTGGTAAAAAAACGAGAGAGATATGAATTAAAATGTAAATTACTTTTGGGAATAATAGATGTACCAGACTTATTTTATAGAAGCACCAATTCCTAACGGAATTTAACGTTCTTGGGCTCGTTTTGAAGCTATTAGAGATGTTAATAAATTTACCGATTCATAATATTAAAATATTGGCCTAAAGACCGGTCATAAACCGGTTAAAACTGATGCAGACCGAAACCGGTCTATAGACCGCAAAAAACCGCGGTCTGCGGTCTTTTTGCGGTCCGGTCTGGTCTTTTGACTTCTGGGGAAAAGGCAGACCGGTTACGGTTACGGTTAACGCCCCTGGGCATCAAAAAACCGGACCGAACCGGACTTTCAAACACTACACCTGCTCACCGATGTTGGCCGCATCCATGAGTTGGTGTATGTGCTTCTCTGGTCTGGTCTTACCTTCTCACTGATGTTGGCCGCATCCGTGAGTTGGTGTATGTGCTGCTCTAGTCTGGCAGAGTCTGGTCTTACCCTCTCATGAGTCGTGCCTTCGCACAGTTGAAACCCCCCCTAACGGATCTCATCTAGGATTATGACACGTTGGAGGGCGCCTTCACTCTGTCAGCAGTCCGGGTCGTATTCAGCGGGCTCCCCCCTTATACACTCATCTTCTCCACCCCCTACCCCCCACCCCCATCCAGATGCCACGCTTCTGGGGGGGACAGCAAGTAGTTCTCTTCTTGTCGCCTCGTGAGTTATGTTACCTCATGCTCAAGGTTCCCCTATTGATTGATATTCTGTAGGACTACCTTTCAGTGTTCGACCTCTTGAGAATCCTTGCTACTTCAAAATTTTCTCCTTCCCCTTTCCCTCAGCTCAGGCTTCCACTGTAATTCATAGTCATTGGTTTTTGTATCTTGTAGCCATAATATATATCTTTTAACCCTACAAACCATTGAATCCAAAGGCTCAGAATGCAAGAAAATTCCTCATAATCTATCAAAATGAATCACAACGTAACAAAGGATTGTATAGTGGCATGAGATTGTGAAATCTTGCTGTATATTGTGAGAGATTGTCTAAAAACGCAGCGATGATGAGGCCTCATCAGCCGTTGTGAGGGAAGTCG